CCTGTACTTGTATAGTGTCTTTCTAGTCTTCCGACCACTCAAAGCGCTTTTACACTACATGCCACATTCGCCCATTCACACAGCAAAAGCACATCAAACAGAAACTACCTCATTCATTCATACACATTAGCAAACCGATGAGCCGGGGATCAAACCAACAACCTTCCGATTAGGGGATGACCCACTCTGCCTCTGCACCACAGCTGCTGTAGAAATGAGAAGAAACACAGATTTTTGAGTGGAGGGAGGCTTTATTCTATTAAACATTTCAGCCACTGATAGTGTTTTCTTTGTTTGTGCTGGCTAATGTCTGCAGGCCACAAATTGAATGGAATATGATTTTTAAAGAATTTTGTTTTGTGCTTTTCTGTGAAGTATTGAAAACCACCCGCCTGCTAACATTGTCCTTAATCTCTAATGCTTCTGTCATCTTCAGATCATGCTGCTAACTGATCCAGAGGTGGAGAGCAGTCTACTGATCAGCTCTGATGAGGGAGCTACCTACCAGAAGTACCGGCTGAACTTTTACATCCTCAGCCTACTGTTCCACCCCGAGCAGGAGGACTGGATTCTGGCCTACAGTCACGACCAAAAGGTTAGAGAACGGGCAAGGCTAGTTTAGCAGTCGCTTGTTCAAAGGTATCAAAAGAAGCTGAGTGTTAAGTCGGATAACAACAGTCTGGGGTTGCAGTGCCTCCGAGCATAAATGTGAGATCCTGTTACACAAGAGTTTGGCTCAAAGCACACAGAGTTCATGATGTTCATTTGGAAGAGAGGTGGATAAGCATGGATTCAGGTAGTTAGAGATGAACTGATACGGAGGCCCATTCTCACCAGTTAAAGAAGAGAAAGGATGAAAGGTTTAGACTTTTTAACTCAAAATCCAGACATAATAAATACAAAGTTTGACTTTCTACATTGGAATAAGATTTTGTACTTCAAAATGACAACATAATATGTCAAAAGTTTGACGTCAACGTTCATGTCTTGATTTTACTTTTGAGACACCAAGCCAAAACTTGACTTTTTTATATATATAATTTTTTTTATTAAGTTATTTTTTGGGCCTTTTATTGCCTTTATTTGATAGTGACAGCTGAAGATAGACAGGAAAGATGGGTAGAGATAGAGGGGATGACATGCAGCAAAGGGCCGCAGGTTGGATTCTAACCCTGGGCCGCTGCAGCAACCCAAAACTTGACTTTTAACTCAAAGTCATACTTGGAGACAGTCAGTATTGTATTGAAATTAGTATTACTAAAGTAAAAGTCAAAATTGTATTACTTTTGTCTAAGTCATTTTAGAGAAAGATATTTGAAAAGAACATTAATATTAATATAAACATTAAGCTGGACCAGTGGTTCCCAAAGTGGGTCTCGCCAAAATTTCACAGGTGGTTGCGAGGCCTTCTTGATTTTAAGGGGTGTAAACTTAAAATATTCACAGTAGGCCTGTATCTTAGTCTTTGATTAATTTCTGTGAAAAAAATGATTACTCCGAATGGCCCAGTTCACGCTTGAGGCCTTGAGCGATGGTAGATAGCAACACAGCTCTTTGGGAGGTGATTTCTTTGCTTTTTTGCAATTAAACTAGTCATCCCTTTAAACCTCTAAGCTTAAAGTTAAAAAGTCACCTGGTTTGGATGTATCTCAACGTGATTACAATGAACAAAACAACATTACATTACAAATGAAGAAATCCATACATCATACAAAGGAAGCTGGATTAGCATAATAAGCACTTTTTAACTTTTCATTTTAACTAATTTTAACATCATTCTAATCTTGACCAAATTCTGTCCACCGCAGTATTTCAAAGAGTTGCCTGGTTAGATTTGTAATCTTTTGACTTATTCTTTGATCAGATAATTGCTTATTTAAATCTAGATTTTTCAAATGATGGACATTTTTCTTGAGTCAGAGTTATTGTACAGCTGCTTGTGTTTACCATTTGAGAACTTTTGATTCTTTTATCATATGAAGAAAAGGGGTTTGAAGCCTTTAAATCATAGAAAAACCCATTTTATATTTCTCATAGTAAGGTATCAAAAAAAGTTAATTTTAGTATCGTTACTGACATTCTTCAAACGAAGCCGTATTAGTGCTCAGTCAAACGTCTTACCGTAAACTACACCTTCAGAATTACTAGGGCTTAGAGACGCACTGCAAAAGATTTTCGAATATAGGAGGCAAAGTGTGGACAAAAAATAATTATATGAGTGAGTGAGACAGAGAGGGAGAGAAAGAAAAGAGCGAGGTCAAATTTATAGGCATTTTAAAATAACCGTTTGCATTAATAACATGCTTTTCTTGCAGCTTAGCCCATTTGGGTTTAATGTTTCAGTTGTGATGAATAATGAAGGCATTCTCCTTTGCTGAGGAGACATGTGGATGTACGTGTGTGTGTGTGTGAGCATGCCTCTCTCTCTGAGTCCCTTCTGGAACGAACATCACACTTTCGCTGTGCAGCAAGAATAATCCTTAATATACACACACACACCTACACACACACCTTTAGCACATAGTCCTACAATTAATTTGCTGTGTGATGATTCTGAGATGTCTGAAACCCATAAACACCATCATTTTTAATTCATTTTCAAGTTGTGTTTTAAGCCATTTTTCATTTCAGTTTACCTGCTTTAGGATTCTGCTGTGTCTCCAACTTACTGGCTATAAATGACACTGACTGAATGCAGTGCATGAATAAATGTAAATAAGGGTCTGGATAATCGTAAACCAATGATCTGATGGTGTTAATGGGTTTAAGACATCAGTCATCACACAGTTTCTCCTGAATTTCATGTGCATTATTAAAAGAATCATAATAATTTTAAATTGCACTTTGGATCAAGTCACCAATTGGTTTGTGGAATACCGTTTTGAAGCTTTGAGTTTGGCGTTTTTGGACGGAGCCAGCACGAGCCAGTGGAGGTGACATACACCTGTGCAGTTTCAACTCGTTCATAGCAGGAAACAATGGCGGCTCGCCTGGTCACACACAATCTCGTATTACAGATGATCACAA